ATTTCCCCTCCGTGCACGGAGGGGAGGGGAACCTCTTGGCAACTGCAGGAACAGAGCTCAAATCCTGAAGATTTGAGCTCTATTCCTACAGCCCCAGGAAGGATTTCCCCTCCATGCATGGAGGGGAGGGGAAACCCTTCGGTGGGCTGCAGGAACATTTGAGAGTGAAAGGGCTGCCTGCCAGGAGGATTTCACTCTGTCCGCTTAATGATCCAGGAGATCGCTTAATGACCACAACTGGGAGTGCCTGAATTGCGGTCATTGAGTGAAGCTGTCATGTGGGCATCTTGCTTAATGACCGCTTCACTCAACGATCAAGATTTTGGTCCCAATTGTAGTCATTAAGCGAGGACTACCTGTATCCGGGCACTTGATGTTTTATCATTAAAGTAAAATTAGTGAAGTCTCCTTCAAGTTGTGCTTGACTCATGATGACTTAATGGACACATCCTTACAGTTTTCTTGGCAAAGTACAGAAGGAGTTTGACATTGCTTTCTTTCAGGATGCTTTTTTGATTTCTCACTTAGTCTATAGTCCTGGAATTACTTGGCAGTTTTCTATCCAAGCAGTATCCAACCTTGACCAGTGCTTAGCTTCTAAACTCTCAGCAGGTTGTGCCACAAGCTAAGAATTTTTATTATTAGAAGTTATGAGTGAGTGTAATATTCTGTAAGATTACATAACATTATTTAAGAAATTACCCAAGATATCTCTTTGGTTCTTGATTTTTATTCCATGTATGGACACATATTGCTAATTTATCTATTTGCAAACAAGTTTATATCTCAAAGAACATCTTTTCTCTTTTACTCAGCTGATGTATGTGGTATTTATTTTGAATGACTCATAAAAAGTATGTTTTTTATCATGTAACTGACAGTAATACTTGGTTTTATTTTTCTTGTCTAAATTTTCTTGGCACTTTGTTTACCTTCCCTTCATTCTCTCCTGTTAATGGCACAGAGGTGAAGATAGTTGGGTGTAAGTTGTCGCTTCATTGTGTTCTGACCATTTATTGCTTGCTGTTTTTCACATTTTCTACACCATATTTTATACCATAATTTTCACTGAATGTTTGAGATTCATAAATATAATATAAATCAACCATACAGATGGAGTATGCCAGAAAACACTTCCCATTACCCAGTGTCTTACACATTCTGACTAAACTAACTCTCTGAGCTGTGTTCAGACATTCATAGCTTCCCCCACCTCAGAGTGTTCTGCTTTCCTATGGGAGATACTTCTGAAGGGAACGGTTAGAAGGGAATACCACAATTCCAGATTTGTATTCTCTTGTCACTGTGTTGTGTTCATCAGTGTTTTTTGCCAGCTGAACAAATATTAGTGAATCAAATTCTCTATCCTTCCTGTTGCCCCCCCCCCCAGTCCATCCCAAATAACTCTGAAAAAATGGGGGGAAATTAAGTTATGAAATAAGGACAAAAATACTTGAAGGAACTGTAGATCAGCCTAATTCCAGCTCAGTTTAGTTAAGAGATATCCTTGGAGTCCCCAGCAGCAAAAGGGCAAAGATGGTCACCGAGGAATAGCATTTCATTATTCTCCAGGGCAATCTATTTGGGAAAAAATATTTTTGTCTTGGAGCAGTAGGTGGCAACTCCCCAAGCCCTATCTCTCCTATTATGTCACTTTTTATTTATAAACCAAGTTTTAGGTTTTCTGTTGATGTTGCTACTGTTGCTGTTTTAATTTCCTGATGTTTGTATTACCCACATCCCTTTTCTATTTACTACATGGAGTCCAAACCTTTCAGGAATAGTGATTTGCTTGTTGTGAAATCATTGTAACATATATACATTTTCTTCAAAGAAAGGAAAGTTCTTCTGGTTTCAGCCATGAAGCTCTACACCTGTACTTTGCTTGTCTTCATGGATAACAAGTATATCTAAGGTTTATTAATTATATTATTGAAAAGGAGAACACAGTTTAATTCCAGATATATTTTCTAGAATACTTAGTCCTAATTAAGTGATATTTTTGACATATGATACATTTATTTTCATATATTCTCTTAAAAACAGTCTTCAAAATAGTAAATTATTATATATTAATATATTATTAAAAATTTCATGATATTTTGAAAACTAGTTGAGTCTGATGTTGTCAGCCCTCCCAGGTAAACCAAACAGGAAACATGACTAGATGAGCTAATTCTACTTTATTGTAAGACTACATTAACAGAATGTTGCAAGTCTAAAAGTACAAATCTCCCGCCCTTCCTATTTACTGCCTGAATAGTTAGGGTGGGTCCTTCCTAAGTTTCTTTTTCTGGCTGTTACTCTGTTGCAGACTCCTTTCTCTTTTATCTGATTGTTCCCTAGGTGGCATCTCTTCCTCCCCATCTTCCAAGGTCACCCTCACATTCCATCACAGATGTGAATGCTTTGACACTGTACGTGTAGACATTTTATTTTCCTGTTAATACATTATATAATATGCGCATAACTTCTTTGCAGTTTGAAGGGATTTCCGTTTTTCAGCCATGCCACGTAATGCATACTGGAACGAAATTGGATGTTTCATATCTAAATGTATAGATACACATTTGATTCCATTATGAGCATTAGTGTCATGCCTTCTTTGAAAGCTTTTTCATTAATGGGGAAAGACAAAGTCACAGCCTGTTAAGCATCACTTAATAAAGCAGATGGCTTGAGTACCACAAATATAAAGACAAGGAGGAAGA